CAGCGCAGACCCCCCATACAATAATGTAGAAAACCCCCCACTATCCAATATAATGCACTGAAACCCCCCTAATATAGTACCCCCTCCCCTTGGATGGCTGAGTGTGTTGGGAGCAGGGAGAAGCTTTACTCAGACGATCAGAGTCCAGTCCGCGCATGCGCAGTATAGGGGTAGGGAGATTTCACAGGGCTTAATCGCCATCAGATTTCCCTACCCCTATAGTGCGCATGCGCGGTGTCTGTGAAGCTCTCCCTGTTCCCAAGTGCGCACGCGCGCTGTACCTCCGACGGGAGTAGTTTGGCGCGCGTGCGCACTGCGCCTTTATGCGACTCCTCGCTGTTCAAAGTCCCTACCTAGGTGGTGTGCGCCTGCGCGGCTGCGCACACCCCCCGTCCCAACGTCACTTCCGGTGCGGCTTCGTCACCGGTGTTCTATCAGTTTGGTATACCCCGTCAGATTGCTATACCCACGTCACTTCCGGGGAGGGGAATCAGCTGTCTCCTGTGCTGCACATGCGTGCTAGCACTCCTGCTACTCCTCCACAGCAAGGTCCTGGAAGGTAAGTAAAACTAGTTTTACACTTTCATTATAGTTAGTGCATTCACTAAGCTTAGGACATGGGACATTTAGGGTTAATGTTAGGGTTCAAATTAGGGTTAGGATTAGGGACTTGTTCCTATTTAGTGATATTTCACATTAGGGGAATATCACTAAATAGTGATTTCTCACACTTTATTTTAACCCTTACCCCAAGGGTTAGGGTAAGAATAGAGTGTGAGAGAGGTTAGAAGCACTTACCTAACCCTAATTTGTACCCTCACTTAACCCTAAATGTCCCGTGTGCCTAAGCTTAGTGAATGCACTAACTATAATGAAAGTGTAAAACTAGTTTTACTTACCTTCCAGGACCTTGCTGTGGAGGAGTAGCAGGAGTGCTAGCACGCATGTGCAGCACAGGAGACAGCTGATTCCCCTCCCCGGAAGTGACGTGGGTATAGCAATCTGACGGAGTATACCAGACTGATAGAACACCGGAAGTGACGAGGGTAGGGTTTTCTAACGGGGTAGGGAAATTTGATAGAACAACTGGACGGGAGACATGCCGAGCTAATCCTCCCTGCCTGTCCGTGTACACAACACCCGGAGAGCCGCCAGTGTACACAGGACAAACATGGAAGATATATTGTCCTTCATTGACCGTAACACTGGAAGGGCGCCAACATGGCATGCAATAACTACTGCAGCTCTCAGGGAAATGTTATTGATGTCGCTGCTATCCATGCTGGTGAACAGAGAGATGGGGTTTGGACTATGGTAGAAGGGGCACTGTTGACACCATAAGCACTGGAGTGCTGGTTGTGTTCCCTGGACCCCATCAATGTCAATCGGTTTAGAATTACAATTATTTATACAGCACCAACGTTATAATCCATAGTGCTGCCCAATAGTAAAACAAGTCTATAAAAACAACAGGTTGACATACTGCTCAAACCAATTTACAATCTAGAACTGGGGTGCCAAAAAGTTAGATCCTCAGATGTTGTAAAACTACAGCTTCTATGAAGTTCTGTCATTCTAAAGGCATGCAAAGCATCATGGGAGTTATAGTTCTACAACGGGGTTGTCCATAATGTAGACCCCCCCCCCCAGATGTTGTAGAACTAGAACTCTCTGGAAGCTTGGCGTGCCTTTAAAATTCTTTGAGAATGATGTGAATTGGGTCTCTTCTCAGCGCCCACATGCTTACCCCTATTCAACCGCTTTGTCTGGGCCTGCATGGCTGGCCCATCACCTGGTTACTCAAAATTGACAATAGTAATGCATAAATATTTCATGTTATCAATGGAGCTGGGAAAGTACAGGCACTGGAAAGAATCCAGGTTTATACCAAATGGTTTCACATAAAGGGAACTTGTAGCTCCATAACCACATCAGCCCATTGTAGTGGTTATGGTGCCTGTATGACACTGATGCCATCCAACAGTTCTCTGTCAAAGTTTTCAAGCATCTGTACATGAACTGCGGATCACCCTGCTGTCTGGGTCTGGTCCCTCATGCAGTATATTTGCTATTGTTGAGGTTACCTATACATTTTGGATGCCATTCATTGACTGATCATTTTGGGATTATATTGCTCACAGTGTCGCTTTAAAATAAGCCACATATTCCAGAACAGCGTTTCACAGTAATGTTTTAACATTAAAGGGTTAAAATGACAGGACAATACGTTGAAACGAAAAAATGTGGATGAGATGCAAAATCACAATAACAGACAATGCCGCAACACCACGTCTTTTGGTATCGTTGGTTTTAAGTATATTCTTAATGTATATCCTGAAGTCATGTGATTGGTGGGCTTTAAATCCTGGTACTGGACTTCTCAATCATAGAAAATATCTCACATTACAAGTACAATAGTCCGCACACAAGGTTGAACTCTTATAATCCATAGAAAAAATTCAATAGAGGATATGGAAAGTATGAAAAAAGTGCACATTTATTGATATTAAACAAGACATGAATATATGGCATTAAAGTGTCATGGCAGCCCTCATAGGTACTTAAAGGTTTGAACAGGCATCATACAGATGACCTGTTGTGTCCAAAAATAGCATAGATTTCCAGGAAAAAGAAACAAACTTTGCAAAAATAGGACAAGTAAAAGGAATAACAAATTGTTGCAATACCTGCTACTGCCAGACAAAGGAGAGACCACCCACACCACTACCCGAAAAACATGTGATGTAAGTACCCTTGAAGCGTTTCGCACCTCCCTGGTGCTTTCGCAACCTTGTGTGTGGACTATTGTACTTGTAATGTGAGATATTTAAAATGACTGGACCACTTCACCCAGAACACTTCATTGAGGTGGTTTGAGTGACTTTAGTGATCCTTTAAAGTACAACTCTTAATGTGATTATGCATGTTTTACATGGCATTAAACACATAAAATGCCATGCATTATTATAGGGCTTGGAATCTAGTAGCCAGGGTTTTTTTTTTTTTTCGCTCTCTCTCTCTTTTTTTTTTTTTAAACTAAAGTATTATTTAGTGATAAAGATATAATTCTTAAAGGGACACTATCATCACCAAAACAACTGCAGCCTAATGATGTGGATCTTGCTTCTTTATCCTGTCCCTGTAGGCATTTCAATGTAAACACTGCCTTTTCAGTTTTGTTTACATTGATGCCTAGTAACCGCTCTAGTGACAGTCACTCAGACGGCCACTAGACGTGACTCCTAATCCAGTGCTGCACAGTGTGCAGCACCTACATTCAGCGTCCCCACACTCTGCATGGAGGTGCTGAAAGCTCCCCATAGAGAAGCATTGATTCAGTGCATCTCTATGAGGAGATGCTGACTGGCGCAGCGTTTTGTTGAGCATGAGCACTAGCATCCCAATGCTTTCCTATGGGAAAGCATTGGCTTGGCTGAAATCAAGATTGATCATCTTAGCAGTGGAGGCGAGGCCAGCCATGACAAAACAGTCATGGCTTGGGAAAAAAGCTGAGTAAATTTTTCCCATGCGATCGTACGGGGTCAGGTAACCTAAACACACACTTTAACAAGGGGCAAAAGGGGCAGCTGCCCTGGGGCCCAGTTATTCCTGGGGGGGGGGCCCAAAGCAGCTGCCCCTTGAGCCTGCAACAATTTAATCAGGGACCGGTGGCACTTTAAAATTTCCTCTCTGGCCCTGTCACACTCACCTTTCCACAATTACCCCTTTTCTATCCCTGTCAGTCTCCCTCTGAAGACAGTCACCATACGCACATAGTCATGAAACATAGCTGTGCCATAAACACAATGCACAAAGATCACAGGCAGCCCCCCATACACACACAACACATTGCAAACAGTTAACACACACACATATGGCCCCGGACACAAACATACACATGGTCACAGAGACGTACATTTGAACACAGGGACACTCACTGTCAGACTCACACTCGGACACAGTGACTGTGATAGTTATTAATGGGCAGAGGGGACTAGGGGGCCCAAGCAAAAGCAGTGAAAGTCGGTGAAAATGCATTGTTTACATTACAGCCTAGTGATAACTTCACTGGCCACTCCTCCAGATGTCTGTTAGAGATCATTCCTGGGCCATGGCTGCCTAAAATGCATCCAAACATTCAGTATCTCCTGTTTTTAACTCTATAGGGTCAGGAATACATGTTTGTGTTCCTGACCCTATAGTGCTCCTTTAAACAAAGTTCTGAAATCATATCCGTTTAAAACAAACACATCAAGAATTTGCAAATGATCGTCTTAAACCTGATGCTGACTTTGATGCTTAGTAACTCCGGAATGCAGGGGAAGGTAAGTTTTAGTTGCCTGAAGCTGTCCCTCGTGGCAGTCTCCATCTGCTTCTGGTGGATCCTTGTTGTGGAAATAAGGTCTGCACATATTTCCTAGTTAGTGAAAATGTCTATTTACTCATTCCACGATATATATTTAAAGCTATACACACGTGCTCTAATCAAGATGGCTGCTAGAAGCTTCTAACCCCCTCCTCCCCCTGCCCCTTTAACACCGACTAACTACCTCGTGCAGCAAGATGGCGCCGGGAAACCGTGGGAGACCCTCATGGACCTGGTGACATGAAATATTGACATATTTTTAGCTAGTAAAATGTCTATTTACTCCATTTAGTTATACTCAATATTATTCAATAAATTACTAAACTGACCACTAGATGTCACTCAGGAGTACCCCACCCATCGACCAAACACTCTAATTTTCAAGATGGCGCTGGAATCCTGGGGGAGAACTCCATGACGACAGTAATGACATAAGAAGGCACACCCTGTAGGACGTGCTTTGAATAAAACACTTAACACTTAACCAATTATTGATGTATTATTCCATGTTATCTCTGACAATGCTTATGATGTAATTTTGCTTTAAAAGGGACCTGCCGTCCCCTCTGAATAAACTTTCCTCAAGTTATTCAACAACCTGGAACCTGTGTCTGGTGTGAATTACTTCAGGGAGCGTGCACGCATTGTTTCATTGATTTGGCCAGGGGCAGATACACAAAGAAATAATCAATACTTTGATTTTTCCATTTCAATTGGCGCCCATAACGTGGGGCCCCGGATTTGCCGGTTCGGAGGGCCGGATACCAAGGACCAGAGCGGACCCCCAGAAATTGGGACAAGCGGAGCCTGATCACCTCCATAATACAGACGTTGCCTGTGTTATTCTCCTGTTTTGTGTCGGTCTGTCTCCGAGTCCACTTCCGGCTTCCAGAAGGCTACTAGAGACAGGTATTTAGCTCATGCGGGGTACCTTTTTAAAGTGAACCTGTCGATTGTCTATCTGCCTCCTGTATTTGTTTGAATGTGTGTGACGGCCGGAGTGTGTGTTTTCCCCCTTTTTAAAAGACAATAGCTTGACTGCCTAGCGGGCAGGGTACGCATTACAGCCGGTGGGGCTGGGATTTTATGTTAGCTTGACTGCCTGGTGGGCAGGGTACGCATTACATCCGGTGGGGCTGGGATTTTATGTTAGCTTGACTGCCTGGTGGGCAGGGTACGCATTACAGCCGGTGGGGCTGGGATTTTATGTTAGCTTGACTGCCTGGCGGGCAGGGAACGCATTACAGCCGGTGGGGCTGGGATTTTATGTTAGCTTGACTGCCTGGCGGGCAGGGAACGCATTACAGCCGGTGGGGCTGGGATTTTATGTTAGCTTGACTGCCTAGCGGGCAGGGAACGCATTACAGCCGGTGGGGCTGGGATTTTATGTTAGCTTGACTGCCTAGCGGGCAGGGAACGCATTACAGCCGGTGGGGCTGGGTTTTATATGTTAGCTTGACTGCCTAGCGGGCAGGGAACGCATTACAGCCGGTGGGGCTGGGATTTTGTTTGATTACTGCAGAGTTTCATTGGTACTTGTGTTATAATGGGGCCAGCCTGGTGGGGGAGGGCTGGGGATTGCTACATTTTAAATATTTGGTACTAGTGGTGTTAACATGTACATGACCATTTTACTCTCTGTCATTCTGTGGTTCTTTGTTTAATTGTTGTTACAGTGTGGGTACCCTTGGTGTGTGTGTGTGTGTGTGTGTGTGTGTATAGTGTGGCTAGTTCTGGATTCTGGGGTTTACACTCATCTCTATGTTTGTGATTTTTGCAAATGTCTTCTTGTTAGTGTAACCACTTTCATCTTTTCATTTGTCCTTTATCTCTCCTGTGTTTGTTGCCCAGAGCTGTGTTAGTCACCCACGCTCGCCCCCTCCGGTCTGTGGCCACCACCCCCGGGTGCACAGACCATCGTGACTAGTCTACGTTTTGGGAAGACGCACGGGTCCACCGTGGCAGTCGAGCACTGTAGACTTTCCTACTTCTTCTTCCCTCTCACTTGGTCTCCTTTACTTGGCAGACCTCGCTTGGTCAAAAAGGGGCAAGTACATGCTAGACCAACTAAGGGGTATTTGGCTTGTGATATTGTTAAAGAGAGGGCAGGGGAAGAAGCTATGCTGAAAATGAAAAAGTTAGCAAAGATTTCTGGTTTCCAAATGTATAAATCTCTGTCCTTCTGTCTTGTTACTTTACGGAGCTCACATGGTTAATCTTCAAGCCTGCAGTCTCTCTCTCTCTTTTTTGCATTCTGCCTCACTCCCCCCACACTTGCTTAAGGGGGAGGAGTGACATGCCTGCGCTTTGGAGCTACCGATAAGAGTTAGAGACGGGATTTTTGCTGGAAAATATTCTAATTGTGTAGTATTGTGTACATTGTTCCATACATAGACGTTGACAGGCAGGTTTTGGAGCTATAATTGTGTAATAATATTATTATTGTTGCCATTTGCATGGCACCAACAGATTCCGTAGTACTATATATATGTTTATAAATTATGTTTTGTGATAAGGTACTGAGGATTGTGGGAGTGACGAGCTCACAAGATTGCATTCAGTGTTGAATACGGGATTTAGGAAGGTGTAGAGGGAATATGCGATGTTGTTAAGTCAGTATAAGAGGAGGAAAGTGATTAATGGTTAGAGGATGATAAGGGAAATTGGTTGAATTCCGTGAGTTTATCTTGCATCATGTTAAAGTAAATTTTTCTATCGACAGCTTTATGGGCTGTTAAATGCATAATGTTCTCAACTGTCTTATTTATCCTGCCAGGTCTGTTCATAGTTTAGTATTTCATTTTGCAGAACGGAATGTTGCTTCTCTGACTTATTTTATTAGTTATAATATGGTGTATTGTTGAAAGTACGTCAGCCACCACCCTAAAGTTGCTTCTAAAGTAACGTCACTTCCGCCCTTGCCATGCTCACACCTCCTGTCTTCCTTTCCCACACCTATCATGGACGTCACCTCACTTCCTCCCTTGCTGTCATTTCCTTCCCCGCCCCTGACATGGCTGCCTCCATCATGAGGCCTACCCCTATAAGGTTGCTAAAGAGTCATTTACACCTGTGGTGTGATCTACAAATGAGTTCTGTAGGGCACGAATATAAGAGCATAACAGCTGATTATCCTGATGAATATTCATTAATGCCTGTGTCTTGCAACAAGGGAAATTGCAAAATAATGCAAGTTATTTTAAACATTGTATCTTTACTTAATAGAATCTTGCTAGTTACAAATCGTATGTTTACAGTAACATCCTTTACATTAAATGACATTCCTCCGCCTCCCTGTCCCCCGCCACCTTTACCTATGCTTGCCTCTCGTCCCCTCTCCACCTCGACTGACCCCTCCCCAGTGTTACCCACTCACCCGTCTCCATCCGCTGCCCCGCTCTCTGCCCTCTCGATCCTTACTCGCCCCAGATCCTCCAGACCCTTGTCCTCCCGCTGATCCCGCTTCCCTTATGCCTCCGGACCTCTCTTCTCTCCATCCTCTCGTCCTCTACTCAACTCTCTGCCCCTACACCTCCCCTCCTTCCGTGATCTTGCACCATTAATAGCTGCCCTTTCTGCCTCGCTCCATCCTCCTGCAACTCTCCCAGGCACCCCTCCCATCCTCCAGGCTGATCCACCCGCTATCCACACATTGTCACCTCCCCCCGATGTCCCTGCCCCTTCTACCTCGTTGCCTCCTCCCCTCTCGGCTGATTTGCCGTCCCTAATCTCTGCCCTCACCGCCCTGACCCAGACTCCCGTTCCCATCCCCTCCAACCCCTTCTCCAGTGGTACCCCCCTCCCAATATCCCGGTCCCCTCTACCTCATTGCCTCCTCCCCTCTCGGCTGATTTGCCGTCCCTAATGTAAATGGACAAAATAGGGATACAGCTGAATGACTAAAAAACATAAGAATACATAGTACATAGTGAAGTACCGTCACAATAATAAAATATAAACTTCAATGATTGCACTCACAAAATAGTGATGGATAATGCGCCTTTAAGCCCTCAAGGGCTGCAATGGTATTCACCCTCCACGAATAGGTTGCTCTGTCTTCAAAGAAGTGGGAGTATGCCAGTGAAGTATAAAAAAATCTTTTTATTAAAGGAGCAATCTTAGAATAATTTGAACATTAAAATAACCATTCTCATAATACAAATTAGACCACCATCAGATTTGAAAAAAGGACTTCAATCCTCTGCCTCAAAGAAACAAAATATTAATAAAAATCTATTAACTAATAATAATTAAAAAGTTTAATAATATGTACAAAACAATAAAGAATAAAATATAAAAAATATAAAAACTAAATAAAATAAATAAATAAAAAATATATATAATAAAAAAATATAAAAATAAAAAAATATAAAAATAAAAATAGAAAAATAAATAAAAATGAAAAAAATGAATATGAAATAATAAAAATGAATGTAAAAAATAAAAATAAAAAATAAATAAATAAAAAATATAAATATAATAATAAAAATGAATTAAAAAAATATATATAATAAAAAAATAATAAATATATACAACTATAAGTATAGTTGAATATAAAACAGGCAGAGGATGGAAATCCCCAACTTACTTAGTGATAAAAACTTTAAACCATAAAGCTAGCCAAATCCACGTCGATGTTTAAACCTTTAGGTGACAGAGTGTCCAAATGGTAGATCCAATAAGTCTCCCGTTGTGCTAATTTCAATTCCCTATTACCTCCTCTCCAATGAGGGGACACATGTTCTATACCACAGCCCCTAAAATCCCTCCAATTGAAGGCCTGGCACGTATTACAGTGAACTGGCACTGAATGAGTAGTCATACCTTTTTTTTATAATGTTTATATGTTCCATAAGACATACTTTCAAGGGTCTCTTAGTCTTTCCCACGTACTGCTTGCCACACGGACACTGCAGTAAATAAACCACAAAGTCCGTGTGGCAACCAACACTAGATTTAACTGGAAAAGAAATCCCGGTGGTGTAACTTGTGAATTGTAAAGTTAAACCTAAGTTCATCCTTGAACAAGCCCGACACATCTGGCATCCTTTGGATCCCTTCATGTGGGTGATAGCTTTCTTTCTGGGTATATCTTTTCTAGGGTAACTTGGAGCAATTAAATCTTTTAGATTTTGACCCTTCCTATAAATAATAGATGGACGGTCAGGTAGAATATTACAAAGAACTGAATCCTGTAGTAATATAGGCCAATATTTCTTAAGGCACTTATTGATTTTCCAATGGTCAGTATTGTATTTTGTTATAAATGAATATCTAAAATGATCATTTGAATCATTCTTTGGATGGTTAATCAATAATTCCCTTCTATCTTTTTTCTTGAGTGTTCTAATTTCCCTTTCAATCATATTACTATCATAACCTTTATTTACCAATTTGTTTTTTATATATTTTGCCTGAATTTCAAAGTCTTGAACATTGGAGCAATTCCTACGTACCCTTGTTAACTGGCTTTTAGCAATACCTCTCAGCCAAGGTTGATGATGACAACTTGACTTATGAACATAACTATTTCCGTCAGTTGTTTTAAAAAAAACATCTAGATCTAATTTTGTTCTGCTCCCAATATAAATTTAGTTCTAAAAAATTTATGGTATCTTTATGCCACTCAGGTGTAAATTTTAAATTAAAAGGATTTAAATTAAGATATTGTACAAATGATAAAAAATCTTCTTGAGTGCCTTTCCAGATAACAATCACGTCATCAATAAATCTCCGCCATAGGACCAGGCTCGCCCGCCAATCATGCCCGCACCACACAAAAAGATCTTCCCATCTTCGCATGTAGATGTTGGCATAACTGGGGGCGAACCTGGTTCCCATGGCGCTCCCTGTTAGCTGTAAATAAAATTTACCCTCATGAAAAAAATAATTATGTTCAAGTATAAATTTAATGGCCATTAAAATAAAATTTAGCAAAGCATCATCTACCTCTGGATCATTTTTAATGAAAAATTGGACTGCTTCGATACCCAATTGGTGATGGATTACAGTGTACAATGATGTTACATCCAATGTTGCCCAACTGTAATCATCTTTCCAATCGATATCCTCAAATTCATGTAAAATTGCTGTGGTATCTTTAATATATGAAGGGGCACTCTGGGCATATTTCTGAAGTCTTGAATCAATAAAGGCTGAGAGATTTGCTGTAATGGAGTTAATGCCACTAATGATCGGGCGTCCAGGTGGAAAAAATAAATTCTTATGGAGTTTTGGTAAAAAATAAAAAATAGGAATGACAGGAAAAGTATTATACAAAAATTGAAATTTTTTTTGAGATATTATATTGTTCTCCAGGGCTCCCAACAATAAACTTTTTAATAGGGAATTAAACATTTGTGTTGGATCTCTTGGAAGTTCCACATATGTCTCTATTTGACCTAGGATGTTAAGGGATTCTTTTCCTCTTTTCCTTTGTCGGCCTCCCTTATAACTATATCTTCCCTTTCCATTAAATTTTTTAGACACATGGATTCCTCCTTTGTCATGTTATAATTCTTTTGTTGATTACTCCTAATCTTTCTGAAATCTTGACAAACCATATTTTCAAAAGTTTCAAGATGAGAACCTTTACTTTGGACAGGATAAAATTTAGATCTTGGCTTAAAATTCGTAAAGCCATTGTCTACACCCAAATGAACCTTGGAATCAATAGGAGGATTAGATGAACACACATTATAATTGGTTCCAAAATCTGTAGGAGTATTAATCACTGACGATGGAAAAGAATTCTTTGCGAAATGGCGTTTGACTGTTAATGTTCTTATAATTTTTTTTAAATTTATAAATAAAGTGAACTCATCCGCTGTTCGTGCAGGGGCAAATTTAAGACCACGTTTTAGTACACTTATTTCCAATTCAGTTAATGGTGTCAGTGATAAATTAAATATACCTACATTACGTTCTTTTAACGGGAAGATCTCTCCCTCCTGGAATGGTTTGGAGGTTCTTCCTCCATTCTCATTCTTTTTTGGGGAGTTTTTGTTCGAAGTGGAGAATAGCGGTTTGGATGTGCCCAAACCGCTATTCTCCAAATATTGTACATATTATTATTATTAAACTTTTTAATTATTATTAGTTAATAGATTTTTATTAATATTTTGTTTCTTTGAGGCAGAGGATTGAAGTCCTTTTTTCAAATCTGATGGTGGTCTAATTTGTATTATGAGAATGGTTATTTTAATGTTCAAATTATTCTAAGATTGCTCCTTTAATAAAAAGATTTTTTTATACTTCACTGGCATACTCCCACTTCTTTGAAGACAGAGCAACCTATTCGTGGAGGGTGAATACCATTGCAGCCCTTGAGGGCTTAAAGGCGCATTATCCATCACTATTTTGTGAGTGCAATCATTGAAGTTTATATTTTATTATTGTGACGGTACTTCACTATGTACTATGTATTCTTATGTTTTTTAGTCATTCAGCTGTATCCCTATTTTGTCCATTTACATATCTGCATTTGAGGTTCGTTTGGGGGAAACCTCTTGGGAAGCTGCATTCATCTCATACCAAGTTAAGTACCCGTGCACATTCCTACCACTGTGTTGGTTAGGTGCATTTGTATTTCTTGTGTTTGAAATTTTTTTTCTTTTTCTTTTAACATATTTGCCGTCCCTAATCTCTGCCCTTACTGCCCTGACCCAGCCCCCGTTCCCACCCCTCCAACCCCTTCTCCAGTGGTACCCCCTCCCGATATCCCGGTCCCCTCTACCTCGTTGCCTCCTCCCCTCCCGACTGATTTGCCGTCCCAACCCTCTACCCACGCTGTTACGACCCAGCCCCCTGTTCCCATCCCTCCGACCCCTCCCCCGGTGACTCCTGACCCAACCATGGCCAATGACCTGTCTAGCTCGATATCCGCCCTCTTCTCTGCTGTTACCTCCCTGGTTAATTCCGCGATTCCTGCCCCGCCTCCCACTGATTTACCTCCTCCTCCACCTCCTCCCTCTGATCCTCCAACCCCTTCTCCGCCCCCGCCTAACGTCCCCGAGCCTTCCGATCCAATCTCTGCCCTTGCTCACGTCCTTAATACTCACCTATCACGCCCATCCCAGCCGGCCCCCTGCTTTAGAGGCCCGTGCATACCCTCCAGCTCCTGCTAATGGGTTTGACACGGGTGGTTTCCAAGATATTCAGCCCCTACCTCGACAAAGCCGCCTTGCCCGTGCTCCTATGCAGTCCAGCCACCCTCCCACTTCTACCCGCCGGTACCAAGGACCCGACCAGGCCCATTTAGATTTACTGCAATAGGTAACCGGCAAGCCTGTGTCAGCAACCCTCAAAACATCTGATGAACTCATTGATTGACAAGTATTTTGAAGCACCAGGCATCACTACCTTAACACAGAATTACTGTAAATCTTGTACTATATGTGCTAAATGCAATCCTGGAAAGATTATAAAGACCGCACCTAATCACCTAGCCAAGCCACAATACCCCTTTCAGAGAATCCAGATTGATCACATTCAGATGCCAAAGAGTGGACGTTATGAATATGCATTGGTCATAGTGTACATGTTTTCAGGATGGCCAGAGGCCTTCCCAGTGACTAATCTCACCACGAGGACTACAGCCAAGTACCTTTTGACGGAAATTGTTTGTCGATATGGAGTTCCAGAAGTGATTGAAAGTGACCAAGGGACCTCCTTCACTGCCTCGTTAACACGGGAAGTCTGGTCAGCACTGGGGGTGACCCTTGCATTCCACACACCATATCACCCACAGAGTAGTGGTAAGGTAGAGCGCATGAATGGCACTTTGAAAGCCAGAATGCTTAAAATGTCACAAGAAACTAACATGCCCTGGCCCGAGAGTCTCCCATTAGCGTTGTTTAGTGTAAGGTACACTCCTAGGGGAAAATATAGCCTATCACCTTATGAGATTTTGTTTGGTACAGCACCCAGGTTAGGTTGTTACTTTCCCCAACAGCTTCAGATTCAGTCAGATGCTATGGTAGACTATGTGACTGCCCTCTCACATGCCTTGACCAAAATACATGCCCAAGTGTTTTCTTCTATTCCAGATCCTGAGTCAAATACAGGTACACACAAGCTGCTTCCTGGTGATTGGGTTATGGTTAAGAAGTTTCTCAGGAAACACACCCTAGAACCAAGATTTGATGGCCCATATCAAGTGCTCCTGATTACAGCAACGTCTGTTAAACTAGCCGGGAAGAGTTCTTGGATACACGCCTCACATTGCAAAAAAGTGCCTGCTCCAGAAGAGGCTAATCTTGCTGAAATATGAATTTATTATGTGTCTTGTGTTTTCTTATGCTGCTACACTTTGCCTGGGCCCAACAAGTGGCCATAACCAAAGATAATCATGTTTACACTTTCTGGTACAATTCTTCTAACACAGATGTAACTACATACACCTTTGATTACTGTGACATAGTTGTTTGCACCTTTTCCACAAAGACATACCTAGCAAAAAGGCTCACCTCACCAGACTGGGTAGGAACCACTCACATGACTATTAACACGTTAAAACCACATATTAATACTCTACATGACATGGTAGCTATAGCCAATCCCACCTTTGAAGACACTATGACAGTAGAGACTGGGTTTTCAGACACTAATTTGTGGCTAGAATGGATGAGATATAACGCCAACTCACATAATAAGACTAACTGTTATGTATGTGGAGGAGCCAGGCCCCATCTGGGCACAGTACCTCTAAGCCTACCTCCTGAAGTAGAATTATGTGTTCTGAGTCTTTATGCACAATCCACCACCAACTCCTCAACATGTGAATCATGGAAAAGGGTTTACCCAATCACTCATGGATATGTCAAGCCACCTGATGGAGTCACCGTGTATCCAGGTAATTACACATGTTATGCTATACCTAAGAATACTGGTGTGTATCTGGGCAGATTCCCATCTGGATATTGCTCAACCTACCATAGCCCACCTGTGTCACTACTAATAAATCATGCAAAGACCATTGGAGATATCTATTGGTTATGTGGTGACAGACAATTGAGGTCCCAATTAGCTGAGCAATGGTGGGGGGAGTGTGCCCTAACCAAAGTCATAATGCCTATCCACATTATTCCAGATGGTAGTCATAACACGTTAAACCTTACACATGTACACTCTAGAACCAAACGAGAGGCTCCTATCCGAGGGAGCTTCGACCCCCATGTGTTTATTGATGCCATAGGTGTGCCAAGGGGGGTGCCTAATGAATTCAAAGCAAGAGATGAAGTGGCTGCAGGATTTGAATCCCTAATTCCAATGATAACTGCTAACAAAAATGTCAATTGGATCAACTACATCTATTATAATCAGCAGCGCTTCGTTAACTACACAAGGGATGCCCTACAGGGCCTAGCAGAACAATTACAAGCCACTACTCAAATGACATTTCAGCACAGAATGGCCTTAGACATGATTTTAGCTGAGAAAGGGGGAGTATGTAAGATCCTCCCTGAGACCATGACATGCTGTACATACATTCCAGACAACACTGGGCCAAATGGTAAGGTGACTACGGCCATAGAAAAGCTAGATAGTCTTTCTGATGAACTAATGAAAAATTCAGGAGTCACTGACACTTGGGACAGATGGTTTGGGTGGATGAATGGTTGGCAAAGGACCCTCTTCCAGGTAGGGACAGCTGTTCTTATAATGATTATCATCTTATTTTTAACCTGTTGCGTGCTCCCTTGCATACAGAAGTACTTACAGAAAGCGGTAGATAAGACTATAGATGACGTGACCCCTACTTTCCTACATCAAGATATCCCAGACCTCGAAGATGACACTCCACATACACCCCTTCAAGCACATCAGTTCAAACAGACAACTGCTTTCCTGTAGGGACAGTGTAGGGAAAGCGTCTGTCTTAGCAGGCGAGTCTCACGTGTGGAGATGTGGTGGACTAGCCACTGCGGGTTACCCGCGGAGTGAAGTGTTCGATGCTTGTTAAGACAGATGAGTTGCAGGCAGCTAGGGATTATTAGGGACAGTAGCAGTTGTTATGGTAAATAGCCATTTTAGGGGGGACTGTTGTGGAAATAAGGTCTGCACATATTTCCTAGTTAGTGAAAATGTCTATTTACTCATTCCACGATATATATTTGAAGCTATACACACGTGCTCTAATCAAGATGGCTGCTAGAAGCTTCTAACCCCCTCCTCCCCCTGCCCCTTTAACACCGACTAACTACCTCGTGCAGCAAGATGGCGCCGGGAAACCGTGGGAGACCCTCATGGACCTGGTGACATGAAATATTGACATATTTTTAGCTAGTAAAATGTCTATTTACTCCATTTAGTTATACTCAATATTATTCAATAAATTACTAAACTGACCACTAGATGTCACTCAGGAGTACCCCACCCATCGACCAAACACTCTAATTTTCAAGATGGCGCTGGAATCCTGGGGGAGAACTCCATGACGACAGTAATGACATAAGAAGGCACACCCTGTAGGACGTGCTTTGAATAAAACACTTAACACTTAACCAATTATTGATGTATTATTCCATGTTATCTCTGACAATGATTATGATGTAATTTTGCTTTAAAAGGGACCTGCTGTCCCCTCTGAATAAACTTTCCTCAAATTATTCAACAACCTGGAACCTGTGTCTGGTGTGAATTACTTCAGGGAGTGTGCACGCATTGTTTCATTGATTTGGCCAGGGGCAGATACACAAAGAAATAATCAATACTTTGATTGATTTTTCCATTTCAATCCTCTTCAGCTTTGTGTACTTAATCTGCTACTAGCCTCCCAATCAGTGGTGTACTTGAGCATACCACTGGTTTGTTTATGGCCTTATGAATTTTAGGAGAAAAAGATCAAAAAAGAACAGATTAGGAATATGGAACAGATCAAAGCAGAGTAAGTGTAGGGTGACAGTTTCTTTACAGGCAAAATAATTTTGATGTTAAAATTAAGGATTTGTAAAAAAAAAATCTGGGGTGGAGGGGGTTGTATGCTTATATTCATTTTGCATGTGATATGTTTATTTACACACGCACTCAGTTGTTGATATCATTTTTAGGTTTTTCAGCTGTGATCATGGCACCACCTAGGAAAAAAAAAAATAGAGGACAAAAAAATCGTTCTGTAAAGAATGAAAAACTGGCCTCATTCATCAAGGATTTCGACAGTGAAGGTACTTGTGTTTTTGTTTTGCACCATAGCATGTGGGTTAAAACAGGGTTCAAAAGGGAAAAAGTATTATCCTTACTAATCTGCCACTGTTAGTGATTTAAAGGTTAGTGAAAGATAACATGCTCTTTGTGACACCTTGGATGTTACTCATTTTCTATTATTATTTATAAAGTGCCAACAAGTTCCGTAGCTCTGTACAATGGGTGGACTAACAGACACATAAATGAGATCACACCACTGGATGTACAGGAACAGAGGGGGTTGAGGGCCCTGCTCGATCAGCTTACATGCTATGAAGGTATGAAAAAAAACAAAAAAAAAAACAATAGTCATTCCATCTAAATTTATTGTGGATATAAAGGAAAGTAGTATTGGGGTTTACCTGGGTCCTGAAAAGCATGCATTGCGCAGCCCATCTACCACTCTACAACTGGAGCTTTATTGAGCTATGCCGAGCCACGCATAACTCTGGCTGAAAGCATCAGCAGAGCGCTCTCTGACAGCGTCCTGGATCTACAGAGACATCAGGCTTCTACTGCAGGAGATAACTGGATGTAGCAAGTTGTAAACCGTACTTAAAATGTATTTATTTATAAAATATTTTACCAGGATGGATACATTGAGATTTCTCTAGTTTTCAAGTATGTCCTGGGTCCACAAAACATTGCATTGATTGACTCCTTACCATTGGACACCACCATGCCACTCCTGGCACTATAACCACTACAGTAGTGCTTCAAAAATGTTTCTTTAACCCCTTAAGGACCAAACTTGTGGAATAAAAGGGAATCATGACATGTCACACGTCATGTGTCCTTAAGGGGTTAAATACCGTGACAAGAGCAATTAAAATCCATTTATACAGCTTGCTACACACATTCAACAGAATAAGAAAGATGGAATTGTAATGAGCTGGGGCAGCCAGTTACTGGGTCCCCTCAACCCTGGCCATTGAATCTCAGGCTAGAAATAAAAATCAGTGTCAGTTTATATCAAAGTAATATTATGCACGGTTTACTCCTTACTTTGGGGGACTTTCTCTCTGCGGTGTTCTTTGTAATTAGCACCGGGTTATCGTAGCACAGCAGCGAGTCTGGCGGAGGGATCATGGTGACCGAGTCTGGAGCAATCAAGTCAGCAGCTAACTCTTGTTTGTTAATGCGGTCGCTAGGAGCTGTTGCTAAGACAACCAGACGCCAGAAAACTACGCACGCGCAATTATTTTTTGCAACCGCCGTGAATGCGTGAGTCCGTGTCTCACTTTACGGTTCATTTGGGACGTCAACGTGCCGCCATTTTGGTAGAGGAAAGGTGTGGGGATGATGAGTATGTAAGGGATAGCTTTGGTCTGACTCACTGGGATTGTGCTGTTGTGATATCTTGGGTTTACTTGTTAACCCTCCCAATGTCAGAGCAATGACCACTGAACAGCCATTTCAATTTCTCATTAAATGTGTCTCTTTACAAGTCTTCTGTCGCCATTTCTTGTATGCGTGTAAAGCGGAGACATATATATATGTAAACCCTTTCACGGTGTATTTTTAAGAGAAAGCCTTGGAAAAATAGACCACAAGAAGAGTTCTATTACAGGGTTTTAAACGTGTACTTCCCGACCAGACAGTGGCTGGCAGTGGCCTGACATCCACAATATGGCCGCCGTTTGCAGATTCGCTAGCTATTGGTTGGCCGCTAGCGGTGCGACGCAGTCACGTGATCCTGGTTGCGCGCAATCCTTAGCTGGCGGTTAGTTTTGAATCTGGTGCTTGGTGAAGGGCGCCGCGAGCCGCTGGTAATCCGGGGTGAGGCCGGCCGTGCAGGTAAATCCTAGTGAGAGCGTGCGAGGAGGGACCGGGCGGGAGACATGCCGAGCTAATCCTCCCTGTCTGTCCGTGTACACAACACCCGGAGAGCCGCCAGTGTACACAGGACAAACATGGAAGATATATTGTCCTTCATTGACCGTAACACTGGAAGGGCGCCAACATGGCATGCAATAACTACTGCAGCTCTCAGGGAAATGTTATTGATGTCGCTGCTATCCATGCTGGTGAACAGAGAGATGGGGTTTGGACTATGGTAGAAGGGGCACTGTTGACACCATAAGCACTGGAGTGCTGGTTGTGTTCCCTGGACCCCATCAATGTCAATCGGTTTAGAATTACAATTATTTATACAGCACCAACGTTATAATCCATAGTGCTGCCCAATAGTAAAACAAGTCTATAAAAACAACAGGTTGACATACTGCTCAAACCAATTTACAATCTAGAACTGGGGTGCCAAAAAGTTAGATCCTCAGATGTTGTAAAACTACAGCTTCTATGAAGTTCTGTCATTCTAAAGGCATGCAAAGCATCATGGGAGTTATAGTTCTACAACGGGGTTGTCCATAATGTAGACCCCCCCCCCAGATGTTGTAGAACTAGAACTCTCTGGAAGCTTGGCGTGCCTTTAAAATTCTTTGAGAATGATGTGAATTGGGTCTCTTCTCAGCGCCCACATGCTTACCCCTATTCAACCGCTTTGTCTGGGCCTGCATGGCTGGCCCATCACCTGGTTACTCAAAATTGACAATAGTAATGCATAAATATTTCATGTTATCAATGGAGCTGGGAAAGTACAGGCACTGGAAAGAATCCAGGTTTATACCAAATGGTTTCACATAAAGGGAACTTGTAGCTCCATAACCACATCAGCCCATTGTAGTGGTTATGGTGCCTGTATGACACTGATGCCATCCAACAGTTCTCTGTCAAAGTTTTCAAGCATCTGTACATGAACTGCGGATCACCCTGCTGTCTGGGTCTGGTCCCTCATGCAGTATATTTGCTATTGTTGAGGTTACCTATACATTTTGGATGCCATTCATTGACTGATCATTTTGGGATTATATTGCTCACAGTGTCGCTTTAAAATAAGCCACATATTCCAGAACAGCGTTTCACAGTAATGTTTTAACATTAAAGGGTTAAAATGACAGGACAATACGTTGAAACGAAAAAATGTGGATGAGATGCAAAATCACAATAACAGACAATGCCGCAACACCACGTCTTTTGGTATCGTTGGTTTTAAGTATATTCTTAATGTATATCCTGAAGTCATGTGATTGGTGGGCTTTAAATCCTGGTACTGGACTTCTCAATCATAGAAAATATCTCACATTACAAGTACAATAGTCCGCACACAAGGTTGAACTCTTATAATCCATAGAAAAAATTCAATAGAGGATATGGAAAGTATGAAAAAAGTGCACATTTATTGATATTAAACAAGACATGAATATATGGCATTAAAGTGTCATGGCAGCCCTCATAGGTACTTAAAGGTTTGAACAGGCATCATACAGATGACCTGTTGTGTCCAAAAATAGCATAGATTTCCAGGAAAAAGAAACAAACTTTGCAAAAATAGGACAAGTAAAAGGAATAACAAATTGTTGCAATACCTGCTACTGCCAGACAAAGGAGAGACCACCCACACCACTACCCGAAAAACATGTGATGTAAGTACCCTTGAAGCGTTTCGCACCTCCCTGGTGCTTTCGCAACCTTGTGTGTGGACTATTGTACTTGTAATGTGAGATATTTAAAATGACTGGACCACTTCACCCAGAACACTTCATTGAGGTGGTTTGAGTGACTTTAGTGATCCTTTAAAGTACAACTCTTAATGTGATTATGCATGTTTTACATGGCATTAAACACATAAAATGCCATGCATTATTATAGGGCTTGGAATCTAGTAGCCAGGGTTTTTTTTTTTTTTCGCTCTCTCTCTCTTTTTTTTTTTTTAAACTAAAGTATTATTTAGTGATAAAGATATAATTCTTAAAGGGACACTATCATCACCAAAACAACTGCAGCCTAATGATGTGGATCTTGCTTCTTTATCCTGTCCCTGTAGGCATTTCAATGTAAACACTGCCTTTTCAGTTTTGTTTACATTGATGCCTAGTAACCGCTCTAGTGACAGTCACTCAGACGGCCACTAGACGTGACTCCTAATCCAGTGCTGCACAGTGTGCAGCACCTACATTCAGCGTCCCCACACTCTGCATGGAGGTGCTGAAAGCTCCCCATAGAGAAGCATTGATTCAGTGCATCTCTATGAGGAGATGCTGACTGGCGCAGCGTTTTGTTGAGCATGAGCACTAGCATCCCAATGCTTTCCTATGGGAAAGCATTGGCTTGGCTGAAATCAAGATTGATCATCTTAGCAGTGGAGGCGAGGCCAGCCATGACAAAACAGTCATGGCTTGGGAAAAAAGCTGAGTAAATTTTTCCCATGCGATCGTACGGGGTCAGGTAACCTAAACACACACTTTAACAAGGGGCAAAAGGGGCAACTGCCCTGGGGCCCAGTTATTCCTGGGGGGGGGGCCAAAGCAGCTGCCCCTTGAGCCTGCAACAATTTAATCAGGGACCGGTGGCACTTTAAAATTTCCTCTCTGGCCCTGTCACACTCACCTTTCCACAATTACCCCTTTTCTATCCCTGTCAGTCTCCCTCTGAAGACAGTCACCATACGCACATAGTCATGAAACATAGCTGTGCCATAAACACAATGCACAAAGATCACAGGCAGCCCCCCATACACACACAACACATTGCAAACAGTTAACACACACACATATGGCCCCGGACACAAACATACACATGGTCACAGAGACGTACATTTGAACACAGGGACACTCACTGTCAGACTCACACTCGGACACAGTGACTGTGATAG